AGGCTTTCGCATCGGACGCCAGGTTACGGAGAACTATCTGTTTTGCAGCACGGTTCCATGTGGCCTGTCACGCTTCTCCATGCGCTGCACCGCGCTGGACAGAGCACTTTGCAAGCCCAGGCGGAGGCGGCCGTCACGAGATACCATGCTTAGGTCGCGCGAGGCATCTCCGCTAGGGACAAAGCAGCAGGACGGTAGAGTAAGCCATGGGATGCAATGGGGGGTACGTATGTCCTCAGGTCGGAAGGGGCTTGACGAAGGCACAGCAAGGCCCTGCCCGTCCAGGTTCGCCTGCACTGGCCAGCAAATCGGCGTCCTCGCCTGCGTAGGAGTCAGCATGATGCGCGCGAGCGCAAGATGTTCTGGCCAATAGTTGCCAGTGGTCCCGTTGGAAATGGTAAGGGCCGGCGCAGTACGACCCGTGAATTACCGAAATTTTGAGTCCTGTACCAACATGAGCCCCTAGCGGTAGCGTCACGGCCGTCCTCTGCTTAAAGACAGGTTGGACCAAGAAAATGGTGCGAGGCATCGTCATGGCACGTGCAGCTGGCAGGGCACAGAGCGCGCATACGACATCATGCAGCCTACAACTTGACAAGTGCAGCAAAGCGAAATCATCACGTGGAAAGTGTGCAGGCGGTCGACTCAATCCTTCTTTTGCACAACTCAGAGACGGAGGCTGCGGAACCTTTCAAGAACTGTCTATTGCGGCCAACGGGTTGGGAGAATCGCTTCCACAAGAAACTTGTGCAGAACTGAAAGAGGAAGTGCCTGACCACGCAAGGTAATCGACAACTAGTCACTGCCATGTTGCTACAGTCTGATGCATTGCTCCGTCTGTTATCAGACGACGACTAAGTCTAACAGGTCAATGTCCGCATACATCTACCAGACCTGCCGCGGTCAATCTTACATTTCGGATCTGCAGAAACGCTCCGTCCGTCCTAGTGTCACGTTTGCGGGCGCTTACTGACAGAAACAAACTCCTCGACTTGGGCTCACAGCATTGTTCCCCAGTTGGCGGCCGGTTGTGCTGTCTTGGTGGGGAAGGTACGAGGCATGCAATGCAAGTCATTGTTTTCGACGGATAATCAATTGGTCAAGGCTTCTGCAGCCTCGGCTACGACGTGTTGAGTATGGTACATGGACTGCGCCCTGCCGTTCAGGCATGCTCGTGGATGCTAAGCTTAGGCTAAGCTTGGTAAGGCACTGCAAGCGCGAAAGGCAACTGCGGACGCATTCCGGGGCACTAACACTGAGCTACGTTGCCGTGACCTGGTCAGAACACCAAGGCCACTGACAAGGTGTTGGGGTGAAAGCAGAACCTGCACGTGGAATTACTAAATTTTGTGCGGAACCTTACCCTGCTTACGTTGCCAGGTGATCGCTGAGTAAATCGCACGTGCTGGTCGCTAGCGTCGCTCTGAAGCCCTAGTGGGCAAGAACGATGCAACATTGCTTCCAGGCGTTGCATAGAAGCAACACCTGGTTGTCATTATCAAGCAGCTCCCGCTCACCAGAAGTGTCTGCGCGACAAGAACTGCGTGGGCGGCGCATCTTCGGCGGCGATTGGACCCTAGCACACAGAGACATGAAGCACTGAAAGTCGATACCAGATCATTCCAGAACTCCGGTTCCTAAGTGCTACTGGTTTATGGCAGATCCAGCACACGACTGCGTTGATCTCATTTCAATCCATGCCGGCGTGGCCATGAAGTCGAGGTCCTGTCTGAAATGCCGACTTCTGCGAGAAACACATCCCGAACGTGCAAGTGACCGATTCACATTGTCGTCTTTGACGACAGTCCTCCTCCATGTCAGCATGCTTTCGGAACTCCTCCGGAAGCCTGCAGAAGGCATCGTGTGTCAACCGTAGAGTAATCACACGACAGGTTAGCTCGCAGAGCTTGACGTTGGTACAACGACGAGCCAGTTTCCAACGCAGGATGGCTTCAGAATGCTTCGTGGGCTGTGGAGCATCACAAACACCGCCGATTACAGAAAAGACAGAGTAGCGAGCATTTCGCTCCACATTTTCAGAGCAGTGCAGCCAAAATGCTCGATTTCCGAGTTCAGGTTCACGCGCAAAAGCCAGACAAGGGCCTGCCACAACATCGCAGCATTCTCGTACTTCTGGTAGCCCCTCTATATGCTGCGTGTCTTCCAAAGAGCTTCTCTGAGCTCTGCGCAGTGGTGGTAAACAGAAGGAACATGGCCACGATCCAGAAATATCGACGCGGGACACCTATCACCGTCCAGCGAATGCATTGGAACACTGCAACGGAATAGCTGCTTCAGTCTCCCACCGACTTTACTGACGACAGTGCCCTCGTCCATAACTTCCTCGTCCGAGTCGAGCTCCTGATTCGGTACACTACACTCACTCATTGTGAGCTGTTCAGAACGACCGCCAGAGCTGCCATCTGCAAGATCTAAACCAAGGCTCAAATCATGTACTGTTCCTGCGAGGGAAAACATGCTCCATTCAATTACTATCGAACATGCATTCGAACGCAACCAGCTTGATGCTTCTATGAAAGAACTTCTATGGGCCCCCACTGCTCTTTCCAGCTGAGTATACAGGGCAAGCCCTCTGAGTTCCATGATGCTTACCAATTTATCAACCTCACAGCAAGCACACGCCTCTCACGGGGATCCTTAGAATCCAGTGGTTCGAAAATGTCTTCAAACAAGGCGGACGATCTTGGAATCCTAAACGTCCTAAACCCCAAACTGCTTCATGGCACACTCGGAACCCAAGCTTGCCAGGGAGTAATGATGAATGTGCCTCACAATGGTCACGGCGTCACTCAAATGATTCGATCACAGTGTTGCAAGCAACATTCAACTTGTGTAATTACATATCCTGCCAGCGTAGATCCCCAAACAGTGAAAGAGCACCCGACAAGCACATCCCGAAGACACCACCACGACAAAGACGACTAGAGAATCCTCGTAGTGTGGACCTGCTACATGTAGCTAGGACGAGCCCCAGAGGCCAAATAGTGCAAGGCCGAATGCTGCTGGACTTTCGACATGCGCTTTGAATGCAAAACGAGGCGATTGTATTGGACCTTGCAATGAAGCTCAAACAGCTGGAGCCGCGGGCTCTTTGAAAACCAAATGAATCTATGCGAGTACCTCCACATGGAAGACCACAATCATGTTGCCACGCAGCTTTAACAATCATGTATATGCGTGTGTGTGTGTGTCTTCATAACATACGCACACATGCCGTTCAAGCCCTGCAGTGAATGCAAAGACGCATCCCAATTAGTTCTAGCAGTAGTAACCTTGAGCCCGGGCGGTCAGGTTCCTGCGAAGCCGAGATTAGACTTGACTAGACCCGGGAGCCCATCAGAAACTTCGCCCGCAAGTTTCTTGCAGCTTCTTAAGGCGGTATCTTCTTCGATGTGTTGCTGTGCAGAGAACTTTGCTTGTTTCCGTCTCGTCACTCAGGTGTGTTGCTGTGCAGAGAACTTTGCTTGTTTCCGTCTCGTCACTCAGGTATTTATCACCAAAACATGTCCAATTCTGAACAACCACAGCTTGTCCTGGTCGTTGTCTTGGGAGACAGCAACTTCAACCTGCGCATTCACAGGTCCAACTGCTACTGCACTCAAGGCATGATAGCTCAAAATCAACATCATGGCACACAGCACATTGGGCGCCTCGGTGAAGTTGTATTCGATCATGAAATCACTCTCGTCCGACAGCTGCTCCTGCGCCTCTGACGACTACTGCTGTTTGCACACGTTTAAAGTTAATTACTCGCATGCAAGTCTTCCACATTTCTTGCAACCGCATGTACAGCCGGTTGCGCCTGCGCTTGCGCACTGCCCTCGTCTTCCAAGAGGACCTCCAGACACGAGGACACAAGGAGACATAGGAAGAGTCCGCAACTACGTGCTCACAGACGGGCGCTTCGCATGGCCAGGTCATGTGGGACATATGCATGTACTTGTGCAGCCTGCTTGGCCGAAAAGGCTCATAGCCTGGCAGCACATGCGGTCCTTTACAAGTAACCCCTGAGCTCGCCTCCGACAGCTCCTGGGCCAACGCATGGGCCTTGAAATCCTGAGGAGACAAACATGGCAACAGAGACCTCTTCTCTCACCGAAGTCTAAGGACGACTGGCAAACATGATAGATCCTTATATTATATTATATTATATTATATTATAATATATTGCAGTATATTATATTATATTGCAGTATATTATATTATATTCTATTATATTATATTATATTATACTCACTGCCATTTTGACAAACAAGCTCTGGCCTCGGCGGCGACCATCGCGCTGCCAACGATCGAGCGACGATAGGTGATATCTACCTCGCAGATTCTCGCTGTATTCTGGCCCCCTCTCGCGGCATGGGGCGACAGCGGGAACACAGCAAAACTGAGATTCAGCGCAAGTCTGCGCGAATTCTGGGAACTGTTCTGTGGGAGGCAATAAGGCTTTGCTGCTCTAACTCCGTGCCTTGCAAACACGCCATCCAATTTTCAAAACCCTTCAGGCTCCCAACCCAAGGAGGGCAAGGCAAATCAAGCGTACTTTAGTCAACTTTCTCCTGCAAGTTCCAAAGTTTTGAGGTAAGTCCGCTTTGGTGTTGTCGACAGTTTTGCAGGATTCATAACACTCGTGGCTGTTCAGGCAATCAGGTTGGACGTGAAGCCCTGGACGGTGCGTTGGTGTCAAACTCAACGCTTTCAACGCTCTTTATCGCTCGGGCTCTGAAGGTCTCGAACGCCGTGGAAGAAAGCCTAACAGTGGATGCTCATAAGACTCATGAAAGTTTGCATCGGCATGCCCTTCCCAACTTCCCCTCCAACACCGAACAACCAACTGCAAGGGATCATGGGATTTCATGGCTGTATGTCATCCGAGCTTGCGACGTCGGGCACTATGTCTGCAGAAGCATCGACCTGACATCGGCTGGAAAAACCTCTGAACCGTTGAAAATTTTCTTCCAAGAAGTGGCACATGGGCGGTCTCGTTGCCATCATCTCCTTCCACCACCTTCTTCTTCATGGCAGAAGGCGGCGCCTGGCTCCACAATACTCTGCACTCGCACAATGACAAGGCGTGCGAGAGAAGTTCAGCCCAACCGGGGAATGCCAGGGATACCTTTATGACTCTGTGGACTGTTGGTACATGTCACTGGTGCTTGGACAGTTCCGCACACACAAGCTGTCGCAGCGACAGCAGCACTGCAGTATGTTAGTTGCAAGAGTGTCAGGGGAGCAGATGCGGTGTCTAGCAGCCTTTGGCTCTGCTGCAAAGTTTAGGTTTAGGATTCACCGTCCCTCGGAATACTTCACTGTAATTTCGCCTGCCTTGAGTCCGTAGTTCACCTGCATCGTGGTGGCACCTGCCGTTCAACGCCCAATAACAGGCGAACCGCCAATTAGTTGAAGGCCTCCACCAGAGCCCGACCAGATGTACTGCCTGTGAGGAAACAAGACCGGAGCATGGGGCCTATCACGAATTCTTGACCACAGTCCGAACTCATACAGTACTTGTTGTTGTTCCGGTGAGTTGGTCGGGAAACCTTGGCTTCACGGCTTGTGACGTCGCCTTTCGCTCGTGTTTGCTTCGTCCTGGGGTGTGTCGGCGTGGGTTGGCTTTCGAGCCCAGGCATTCAAGCAGTCAGTTCAACATGAGAACACGGTCCAATGACGCAACTGGATCGGTCTGCCGTGGTTGGAGGGGTGCAATTCGGATGTGTAAGTGCATGCATGCACACGTGTATGCATGCACGTACGCACATATGTGTGCATGCATCTACTTGAATCTACTTGTTTGTCGGTCCGTCCATGCATCTGTTGCCTTCCATACGTCACGAGAGCTTCCAAAGCCCTCCATGCAATGTCTGACTCGGACTTGGGGCAAGGCGTGTTGGTGTTCACCTTCCACTTGAACTTGCCCTGTGACCTGGCCACGCATTCGTCTCGCCCCAGCTGAGGAGCAAGATGGTACGAGTAGCTGGACTTGTAATCGGAACTCAAGACACTCACCCTCAATGGCGACCGCACGACACATCCTGCTTGATCGCCACTTTCTGCGCGACGGGCTTCGGGGCCTTCGGCACCATTTCGTAGCGTAGTGGCAATCGTGTATTCACTGCTCTCTTCAAGGCACAAGCCGCAAACTCCAGTCAAATCGTCTCAGCTAGACATGCGTGCAGAGATCTGTATGTGCAACGGCCCACACCCAAAAATGCATGCTTCAGCACATGCACGCCACAGGCATACATGGATGCTTTCATGTGTGCCACCGTCATGCATGCACACACGACCGTCGACCCAACTCCGATGCCTCAAGCCAGGAATGTCCCAGAGGCTACAGTCGGAGCCTTGGCTTTTTCCTTCTCATTCTCCAGAATGGCTGTGCCGATTGCCTCATCTCTGCGACAGTTTTCACCGTCAGCAAACGGGAGTGCTGGCCTGGAAGGCAGTCTTGTACTTGTCAGTCTGCTGAAGGCCTCCAAAGGATCAGACTGCCAGCGCAGGCCGCAGTTGCCGCGCCGATGAGGATCTGGTCAGCTCTGGCGGCCTCCGCCCAAGCGTCCAAGACTTCGCATGACCTGATCCAGCCACATGTTGCGGATGCACTCACATGCTATGCCGCCATGCGCTGTGTCGAGGGAGCTCGAAGCCTCCGTCATGTACTTCTTCTTGAACTCGCACCCCTTGAGTACGATTCCCCGCTCGTTCAGAGCCTGAGGACTCAAAAGAGCTGTTGTAATCGGCTTTAGCTCCAGCTGTCAGTCCCCACCTCCCCTACTTTCTTTGTGACGAAGACTGCAGGCAACTCCGGCGGCTCTTCATCATCGGCACCTCGGCTCTCCGATCCCGACATGCGTTCAGGTCGAGACAGCACGAAACATCTGGGAGCCAGGCTGTGGGCCAGCTTCTCCAATGAAAGAGCCTGGAGCGACGCGGGTATTTAGACATGTAGCATGTTTTCTACATATATGTATGCGCATATGTATGTATGTATGTATGTATGTATGTATGTGTGTATATATATATATACATATGGGCATGTTTGCATATCGAATCCGCTAGACGACAGGACGGCACCCAGGCACCTCGCGAAAGGAAGCACGTCCAGAACATCTGCTTCACCGAATCGAGGCTGGAACAGACGATAGGGGCTCATTTAAATGGAAGTGAAGAATGTGATGATAGTTCTTTACAGTAGCAGCGCAGGTGTCAATGTGCTGGGACAAGTGTTTTGCTCATGCCCTGTGATCCTTTGCGACTCTTGTTCATCTTGTCCGTCCCTCGCTCGACGGTTGTCATCGGTGCAAGAAGAGGTGGCAAGGAAACAGAGTCACAGAGTAGAGGCATCGGTGGGTCGAGGACGACGCAAACAGTTTCTTGGCAGAACTGCGTGACACCTCTCCTCCCAGGTCCACAGCAAGAACAGTAACCGCAGCGGGACAGACATCCTTTTGACAGAAAGGTCCGCGCTGGATCAACCAAAGTACATGGTCAACAGTTGATGAACAGCACGTTCTTCAGTCAAAGAGACTATTTGCAGGTATTGAACTGAAGTGGCCCTTCCCACACCCAGCCTGCTCGCAGCGAATGATGAGACCTGTGGCTCCTTGCTTCTTCGCCTGAGCAGCCGCCTTAGCCGTGTGCTGAGTCAGGCCAGGAGATCCGCCGCAACTCTGCGCATACGGCACTTTCAAGCCAGCTGGGCACTTGACTTTGCGCAGGTCAACTCCTTCCTCAACGACTGCTACCCACCTAGAGCGACGCCAATGGTACAGCTCAAGACTCCTCACCGGCACAGCTCGCCGCCCTGCTCTTTCTGAACACTGGGGCTGCTGCTCCTTGCTGCCTTCGCCGGCAGCCTCCACATGAAAGGCAACCAAACCCCCAGCGGCATGTTCAGCAATACTGAAACTCACACATGGCTGTCGTTGATTGTTTTGCCCGGGATCCTCCTGAACTTTGCGCAGTCTTCTGACAAGCTGTCAAAGCTAACAGTCCCTGTCTAGTCTATTCAATCATAAGTTCGGACGGGCCTTGGGCACTGTATAGGTGCCCTGGGCGGACGCGACCACCACGGCACCCTTGAACTTGGATAACTCCTTCTTGCCCAGCCGATTCATTCCACGGTAGTCCGACAAAGGAACAGCAACACTGCCTCATCATGCGTCCAACTCGAAGACAAGGCATCGTAGTGCTTGACGTCAGACCTCAGAGACAGCATCCAAGAGCAAGCTTACCTGCGGTGTTGTTGCCACTGCCCGAGGTCGCAGCTTATTCCAGAGCGGGGCAACCAACAAGTCGACATCACCCTTGCAAAGTCATTTTGTTACACTGATTGTGCTTCTCAACATAACCAAACATCTCTCAGGGGAGACTCCCCTTCTGGTCGGGGGGTTACCTTCGGTTGCAGAGGGACACTGGTAGAGTCCAAGCAGCCACATGGTGGGATGAAGAGGTTTCCATGGGCCGGTGTGCACCCGGGTCGTCCACTCACTCAGTCACTCTCACCACTGGAGTTCGAAGCTTCTCGCAACGTTTGTGCAACGCAAGCCTGCGACATCGCCGCACCCAAAGGAGCCAGCATGTGATTGACAGAGCCCGCCTTAGCGTCGGCCATGCTAAGCTCAATTAACTCAATCGGCTCACCTCGTGCAAGCCCCTGATATCCTTTCCGGGCCTCTATGACGAATCCAATCTCGCTTTGCGTTGCCTCGCACTCGCATGCTGAACTTCCACATCGTTCCGGTGTATGGCTTAAGGAGACTATTCGTGTCCGAAATTGCCAGAATCGCAGCATTGTTGCAATCATTGCCTAGCCAGTACTGTGGCTCTTGGGGGCACTGGTCCTCGAATGAGACTAGTTTATACACACACACACACACGCCTGACGCATTCATGAGTTACGTCCTTGTTAGTCACCTGGGTAACTTTCAGCAACGTAACTTTCCAGGATTACAATTGCCTCATACATAGCTGGATCGTAAGATTTGGTCAGGACTGGTCTCCATGTGGTTCAGAGAGACATGATATATCATCGCACGCACCAGTTGGGTGGGCAGTGGGGGTTCGACTCACGGTGGCAAGCAATTGCGATTTCCCGTGCGACTCGACAAAACCACGTGCAAAGCTTCTGTGCCGGTTCTCTCAGAGCTACCACTTTCGTCGGTCAATGCTGCAAAGACGCGCTGCCTACTGTCAAAAGACGGAACCATGACGACACAAGCTGGAAACTAAATCAAAAGCATCCTTGAATCCTCCGCTCGACGCCCAACTGCAACCAACACCCCCACCACAACTATCCACAACTATCAGCACCCCCACACCCGAATGTTACAAGCCGATAGTTCTACAGAGTAGCCAGCACTGGCAAGCAATTCAAAAAAAAACACTGACAACAATGACCTTAGCATCAACAACAGATATCAGCATCTTCGCCGCCATCATCAGCAGCTCCTACTATACTGGTATCAGCACTACTCGCTTGTCTCGTCGATGGGCGCGACCAAAGCATTAGCTGTATCTCATTGTATTCTAGTGCTTCTTGTAAAGCTTGGTTCCAGACCTTTCCGTTCGCGGTAATCGACCCGTCGTCGTTTACCTGCGCTGACGGTCACCGCTGTTGCTGGAGGCACTGTGTGTAGCAGCCACCTTCAAGTATCCCAAGTTCTTGTGGCTCTCATCGTCAGTCCTGCTAGGCATACTCATGCAAGCGTTGCATGACATACCTCACGACATGGACATCGTCATACCAACTCACTCTGGAACAGCCTGCTGTATGGCTTGAGACAGACGTTGGCCCCTTTGCCTTAGCTTCTCAACAAGTGTTTGCAGCGATCTTCTGCACAGTCTTCGGCCCTGCAGTGGTTCTCAAGACTCGCTAGCCACTGCTAGTCTCTGTCACTTTGCATGGCTTGCCGCCCTGCAGGCAGTCTCAGCCACAAGCGGATCGTGGTGTCGTGCAAGTGTACCTCTTCCCCGAAAACCCGAGGCCCGCAGTCCCACAGAGCGAAGGACACATCCCTCCAATGCCTTCCTCTGAATTTGAGAAGAGATCTAAAAGCTGAAAGGAGGCTGAAAGGCTGGAGGGCACCAAGCCCATGCCCACGCGCTCCACAACAAACCTGAGAGTATCAGCAATCACCATGCCGCGCCACACTATACCGGCTCTTCAGTCGAGCGGCTCTTGGATGCCGCTTTCGGCGCTGCCTAGAGGCCGGACAGGCCGGATGAATTTCCAGTCGTAAGTCTGCAAATGTTGAGAAAAGATCCGCCTGCAGCACTGCTGGCAGCGCCGCCCTCTGGAATCGCACTGGCAGGTTGCCGATGCTGGAGGCATAAACAGACACGGGTCACTTTACGAGGCCTGAGATTGAGAACGTTGTTTCAGGCCATGACAGCAATCGCTTGAAGAGTGTCTTTTAGTGAAGAACCTAGAGAAAGAAACAGAAGCTGCAGGTCCATCGAATACTAAAGCAGGGCTGACCACGTCAGCTCAAGCATGAGTTGCGATGAAACTTTTGTCGCACGATATTGTTTCCATTCGTTTGCACTATGGCCAACAGGATCCATTTGGGGTGTCGCGGAGGGATCAGGCTCGGCAGAGGCCGCTTCAGCGATTGGAGATGTGATCGGCTTTGAGCCTGCTATCAATCCTGTGTGGTCGATAACTGAACAGAATCTGGCATGCGAACCTCTCGAGAGGCTTCAGTGTTCTGAGAATTCACTGGACTTTGACGATGGTTTCAAGGCCCCCCCCCAGGACTCAAGGACAACGGCCTGGTCATCTCGGCGGTAGGATCGCCTGTGTGACAAAGGCCCGTAGCTGTATCCACCTGCAAGGCTGCATGGAATCGCATGAGGCATGAACTTTATTCCAGCTTGGAGTTCCAAGGAAAACAACTGAAGCCACTGTTCCATCGTCAATGCTCCGCAGGCCTGTAGCGGTTGAGAGTGCAAAGCCTTGACTGTCACAATGTCCCCTATCCGCAACGACCTCGGTACTACCCTCTACCGGGTGACTCTGCTTTGCCAGGAACGCGGTGTCGCAAGTGAGAAGACAACTCCGCAAGGTCCACAACTACCAAGATCCGTGCGTCGAGTCTGCTGATGCTGCATCCTGATGCAAAAGACATCCGATGAGAGGGATGTGCTTGTGGCGAGAACTGTGGCAACTCAACTTCGCGAATGCATGGCTCCTTGGACGACGGAGTACTTTGACCTCAGAAACGTTATGGAAAGTCCAAGCGGTCTAGCCTCAGGGTTAGCAGGCGAGCCAATGCGTTTCATCTGAGCGTTCCACTGCTGATGTTGTCGCCCGTTTTCTCAACCTAGCCAGCTTGCCACATGTGTTACGTGTGTATGTGTGCATATATACTATATACATACATATATATATATACATATGAGTACCTGTACAGAGCCGGATCGATCTTCTCTCACTCACGTTGCCTGAGGCTTCCAACCAGGCAAGATGACATGCAATCCTAGACTGCCACGTGGCCGGTTCAGCAGAATGGAGTTCGTTGACACAACAGCAGCTTAGGTCCTGCTTGTTTCGACATTTACCGCCTCTGTGTCTGGAGGAGTCCTAAGACCTCATCCCGAGGCAGGAGGCACCTAACATTCTGCGCCGGGATTTGTGAGCAGCATGGCGCCGTCTGCAATAACTGCAACATGCTAAAAGAAGCACACTATTATGCTTGAGAGCTGTCTCGTCGCGAACAGGCACCGATTGGATCCTTCTGCACACATTTTCAACTCCAAACTTGGCCCGGCAATTTGTCGTAGTCAAGTATGGGCATATGGCATCGGATCAACTTGGACCCAGGCAAGCCAATAGGCCCACGTCCCTTTCCCGGAAGCAACCTGTCGTGCGCAGTTGACATCGGGTTGAAACTTGTGGATTTGAGAAGCCGCTGGCTGATGCACCAAAACTCCTTGTTTCATCCGTCCGGCGCTGTTCTGGCAACAACCTACCAGAACCACTCGGTGTGGCCTTGGCATCTTGCCTCTCGCTCACAATTGAATTCATGAACTGGCTGCCACATACTTTGATTTTGATACATTCTTAAGCATTCATTGACATTCCGACTTGCATTCAACTCAAAGACAAAGAGCAGCTGCCTGCCAAGGCGACTGGAATCCTGGGCATCGAAAGACGATCTGTATGAGCTCGCGAAGCTCGAGAAGAGGAGCTTCCCTCTGCGAACACATGCCATGCAGGATTTGCTCCTGGCATAGCAGTTTGTCGGACATCTGCAGTAAACTGCAGCAATGGCCATGTCAAAGAATTTTGATGTTACCTCATGTGCGCTTGTGGCACAAACACACAAGCTGCGCAACGATGCGCAGTGTTTGTCATGGACGTCGTTGGTCCAGTAAAGCGGCACGAACTCAGGAACTGAACTTTGCTCCTGTGCAATTTGGAAGTTGAGCCTGGCGCACTTAGACTTCCGACAAGGCTAGCTGTCGAACCCATATCTTGCAGGCCTCTTCACACTGACAGCCAGAGGAGCAAGTTGAGCGGGAGAAGCGTTGGCACTAAGCGAGGGAGTTGAACAACATCAATGAGAAAGAGTCCGGAGCATACAGCACCTGCGACTTCCGGTATGCACTCGATATGTGATACAGGGCTCCGGCGCCCAACTATCACGGTAACGAGACATGGCTCTTCGCATATTGCACAGGTTGATTGATCACAGGCTGTACAAGAATCCCATGTGCTGCGCTTGGCAGGCCTTCACAGGCATCACGAGTCAGGCAGATATACGAAGCTGATAAACATGTTTGAGGTGCATCTCGGACGCATCCCATCAAAATGACAAGTAAAGCTGCACATTGTCAGTCCACTTGAGAATGGACCATGTTGGATTTGTCGCACGCGGAGGCTTCCGTTTCATGTCGTTGGATCGCGCACCGGATGTCCGACGACCACAACCTTGGTCAAATGCCTTGACCATACGTTTGACAATGCTTACAAAGTAAAAAACTCTTCTCCGGCTGTGGGCTCTGATTCTGCCAAGGTTCGCTCGTGCTTCCGATGTCAATGCTTGGCGGCACCTGAGCGGGTCTCGTCCCTCATTCTACAGCAAAAACTGCAGAGCCGGCCAGAGGAGCGGCTGAACGTCTTCCTTTGCTGCCGTCAAAACCCCGACTTTTTGAGATTTGACAAACTCCCAAACGTTCCTCAATCACCTCTTCTTTTGGCGCTGCGTGTGACCGCTGAGACAAATTTCTCTGAAACCAGCGGCCGCTAGCAAGCACAAGCCCCGCAAACATGTCCTCTTGTCGCCTCCTATGGATCTGCAGAAGTTCTCCAGCTCCATGGACCTGCTTATGGTACACCTCCAGCGTATCTTGTGGTATCTGGCGACACTACGGTCAAAGTTCCTATCGGGCTTTCAAGCCCCCCCGGTCCAAGCACGTTCCAACGCACCCCTCATGAAGATGCGCGCCACGACACGGCGGCGCTTCCGAGGCTGACGGTGGGAGGCAGCTGAGCCTGACGTTGGCACAGATGCGAAGAAGTCGTGTCCGCTTCGAGGAGTGACGACAAGTGGCCGGATCGACTGGAGCGACCGGATCTGGAGCTCCTGCAACTCCGGGGTTGCCTGGCGTTCTGCCTGGCGTTCTGCCTGGCGTTCTTGGTGTCCGCTCCCGACCTGCTCAGGGTATGCGACTGGACCACGGTTCCGGCCATTTAGGAGCCTTGCCTTGAGCTCGTCCTCCCTTCCGTATATGAAGTACGAATATGCTTACGGCACCAAGCAGGATGCCCAACCTCGGCCGACAGGCAAGTCTTGGGCGTCTTTGCCGTGCCGCGACTCAATTTACAGACGAGCTGCAGGAGGACACCACCGAGAGCAGCACCTGACGGGCAGAGCAAAGGCTGCAAAGGCTGCGAGATGCCACGAGCAGCGCTTTATCTCCGCGTTTTTTCATTGCAGCGAGGCACCAAAGACCAAGCTCATCGCTCCTCCGGAGCCTCGGCACTCGCATCCGGCCGGCGCCCTCCCCGAGGCCTCAGCCCCAAAACCTAGGAAAGCTGGATCCCTTGACGGGGGCCCGCGCCTGCTTGCTCTTGGGGCGGGTCCTGACGTCTCACCGCAAAACTGCGTGGAACTGCTTTGCTTGTTCTCCAGCCCAGGAGATGCGAAACAGAAATCCACTCCTGGCCGGACGTCGGAAGTGAGAGCTCCGGTGAGCTGGTTGGCTCCGCGACGTTCTTGGCAGGTCCAGCTGGCAGACTTGTAGCTGCACTCGCCTGACAGGATCGACGACTGCACCGCTGCAACGTAGACTCACAGAAACAAAACCGTGCTTCCAACATTTCAATCAGCATCTGCATCGCTCTGCAATGCCATAGTGAATTTTGGTTCCCTGCTGGTTCAGCCAGCTTTTGGTCTCGGTGAACACTTAGGGAAGCTAGCTAATGCTGCATCAACAGTTCGGCGCCAAAACACTAACCGACTTCAATTGACAGGAAGTGTCCCCTTCCGCCTCGCCTGCTGGCGCTCGTAGTAATCAAATAGCCGATGGGTACGAAATGCAGAGCCGGCGGAAGTACGATTCGCCCACTTCAGCCAACACTCGCCAACTACAGAGCCATCTGCTCCATAGTCGAAGCTTGCGCATCCATCCGTCTCGAGGCAGAGCTGTGCACATTCTGCCGGCGAATGCACCTGCGGCATCTGCATTTACATCAATGCTTACCCACCAGGCTTCCCCAGTCAGCGGCCTTCGCCCTCGCTGTCTTCGACAACTTGGACATCCGAGTCGTGCGTAGCGAGGACTGCTTATCAATTCCTCTTCCCGACATCGACACCCACGTGGTGAGTTGATTTGACAGCCCGATGACACCACAAGCCCAGCACCCGACAAACCCTGGCAGTCAGACTCAAGCTTCCAGCAAGGATAGGACCAGATAAGGTCTGTCCTGCACGCGATTTTGACCTTGTTCTCTACTACCTAAGTGAATGGTCAACGACAACTCCCGCAAGCTCCACAGAGCTAGCTTTCGTGACAGATGGCGCACAGACGGCAGGCTGGTCTTCAAAACCTCCTTCTCGGCACCTTGTGCTACCAAGTCTTGGTCTTGACAGCCCAGGCGTTAAGTGCCCACATAGCAACAATCCGTTGGAGACATGTGTGTCCAGCATCGCTGGCACCAGCGTTCCGGGTTTTGTACGGATATGTTATCAAACGCATGGCTTGTATGTGGCATCGACTGACAAGTCCAGTTCACTCTGACTCGTACATTGTCGCACAAGATTCTTGCGTGACACAGTGAACCTCCTGTAATGAATTGAGAGCCAGTTCATGCACATCATCCCGCAGCCTGTCGATGCTGCACATTGCGCCCTTCAATAGACATCGCCACAAATGGGCCGCTGAAGCGGCTGAGGCTCGACCGATCAGAGGCACCAAGCTCCTCGGCTGCACGCTACTGACCGCCAGTGCTCGTTTCGCGCTTGCGCCACGACTTCGGCTTTGAGCTCGCTGAGAGATGCTGAGAGCGTGTCCAGGTTGATGTCCACGGACGTCCGGTCAACCAAGCCTGACATGCGACACGAGAGGGGTCAGGGCGACAGTCCCCGGGACCCGAAACCTGCGCTTCCTTTCTGTCCATCTCTCTTTCTGCTGTGGAGAATAACTCGAGCCCTCTACTCTCGGCCTCTCGGCTTCTTTCTGCGTGCCTTGGCAGAGGCCGCTGGGAGGTCGCTGCCCGCGCTGCAACAGCCAGGAGCCCTGTGCTTCCAGAGGGTACCTCCGCTCCGCTTCACTCCGCTTCACTGATCTTCCGTGGACGTTTTCAGCCCTCGCCTGACGTCCAGGATGCGCTCCTCGCCCGCCAGGTCGGCGTGCGCGGCATCCAAGGCACGGCGGAGGGACCAGGCCGAGCCTCGTCGTAAGCCTCAACAAGTCGTCAAAACGCTGAGCAGATGCCAAGCAACGACACTGCTACCACGACCACTCTGCGCCGTCATCGCACAAACCCACTACTACTGGTACTACTGCTATTGCTGCGGCTGATACTGCTCCTGCTCCTGCTCCTGTCCTCCTCCTCCTACTCCTCCTTCTCCTACCATGACGACGACCCCGACCCCGACTACTAACAATCACGTAGTCCGTGGCGAGAGCGACACTCACAAAGCACTTTCCGTCTTTTCGATCAGCCCTGGCCTGTACACGCAAGGCCTCGTAGCTGCTGTAAAGTCTGCGCAGGGCCCCGGGCCACCATGACCTATCATCGGATTTGAGGCATGCCTTTGCATCAAACCGATGGAAGTGTCAGGAAATAGTACTCGGAACCTGCCTGCCGGGCGGTGGCTGAGTACATGGCGAGGCAAACTTTGTCGTAGCCCTGGGGGCAACCGCAAGCTCTTCAAATCGCGTTCGCGATACGAAATGTGAAGGCGAGCTGCGACACACATGCAGAAGTGGCGGCATGACACGCACAGCCTGAATATCCTGAATTCACCACAGCTACTTCGGCCCTGTGGCTGCACTCCGACAAGCCACGAAGTGCCACTAGCGGCGGAGATTTCACAGCACAGCACACATCAACGGCAATGATGATAAACAGGAGGCCGGCTCATGTACAAGGGCACATCCACTGAAGCATGGCACAAGACTGCGCTGCTGAATGGGAATGAGTTGAAGGAGCCTCCTTGCAGATCGGAGCTGCCGTCTGTATCGTACCATCTATCCTCTGCACGAGCATTCCATGAGCGACACAAGCGATGGGATAGAATCAACAGGCTTAACCCTTGCCAGGCCGCAGTTTCAAGAACCCGGCCGTCGTCATCTGCACTGATGGTGCTGTTGCCAGGGGTGCATCCAAGGCCCGGCGAACAGCCCGGAGACCTTCCAACACCACCTGGAAAGGGCCGCTCCTGGGATTTCCAGAACTCGGAAAGACAAGAGATCTCAAACATGAAAGTCTCCCGATGGAAAAATATCTCCAAGCAATATCCGAAACTGCAAACAAAGCCCTGAACTTGAACTTTCAATGAAGCTGTGTAAATTTCGGGTCACAGACTTTCAGCCAGAGGGCTGCAGGATCACATTGATCTCCAAGGTTGCAATGCGGCTTCGGTCTAGCACGCACCCTTCACAAGCCTGAGTCCCATTGCTGTTGGAATACAACACCGAGATGACAGACAAGTATACCGACTGCAATTTCGATGAACGGCAGCCTTGGCATCTGCCGGGCTGATGCTGAAGTCCTCAACAAGAAGGACGGGTGTTTGGCTTGCGATTTCGTGACTCTTGGCTCGCGGTGAGCGTCCCAGACCCTCAGAATAGTGTACAGTTTTGTATCCCTGGTGCAGGCCAGCATGCGACAAAGCTTATCCGAATGCCTTTGAAGGCACCCAAACATCTTGCTACTTTTTTTCACCCCTATAAACCCTAAACCCTAAACCTTAAACCCTATAAACCCCATAAACCCCATAAACCCCACACACCCTACAAGCCCCACCTGAAACCCTAAGCCCCCTAATTCGGGTCCCGGAAGGGAAGGAAGACGCTGCAGGAAACCGGCGGACCGCCCTGGGAAAAGGGCACCGCGAAGGCCGACTCGTAGGCCGACGACGAGTTCGCCTCAGAGGATGACCCAACAATAACAGCAATAATATATATGCAAAAACACTATTTAGTTATAATATATTATAATAATAATGACAATAATAATAATAGTAATAGTAATAATAGTAATAATAATAATGATTGATAATAGTTGATGATGATAGTTGATGATAACTATTGATAATGTTACTTAATGATTAATAATCAATAATTAATAGTAAATATCTATAATGATGACTAAAGCTGACTCGCGCTCTTGCAGCCGGGCTTCATCTTTCAATATGAGCTGCAATCCAAGCGGAGCTGCCCGAGTAGAGTTTGCCATTGGCTCTGACTGAAGGTCCTCACAGAGTTTAGACCCAGCACACCATGCAAAGACTCAAATTCGCGGAATCTGGTGCTGTAGCAGCTCATATTATGCAATACCATCTTAATTAACTAGACATAACATGCCCACAATGGCAGCTGTGACAGATGTCCAGGAGTAGCCCAGCATACGCCGTGAGATTCAGCAGCGGCCTCACATTTTCAAGATCACGGCTGAAGAGGCTGTCTTTGTCGCGAATATTGCCTGCAAAAATGCCCTCGAGCTACTATCACGGAACATGTCGCCAGATCTATGCATCTTCTCTTGCTCAGCAAAGTACAACAGTCACAGGTCACAGGACGTACAAGCAGGAAGTACTCAGAAATCAGCCTGAAGGATGCCCGCACGCTGGAGGCACCGCCCTCTTCTAGGTCATGGCCACTGAAGACCATGGCTTCCCCAGAGAAGGACCTCTGTTTCAGGTGACTGCCGGCTAGATCCGGCTAGCCGCTGCTGCGAGACAGTCGCGGATAAGCCGAAAGATAGGACACCATCGGTCGCCCCGGCCCCAGCTACATGGCACTTGACTTGTAATTATACACGATCCTGATTCCCTTTAGAGAGCTGGCCAAAGCCCTCAAACACAGGGGGAAGAGACAGGACCAAACGCGCCTGTTTGGTCATGAGTCATAAAGACATTCATCGGCCGAGAAGCAGGCGTCCAGTGGCCTTGCCACCTCGCTCTGCCATCCAGCCGGGCCAGCCCTTCTCCGCACCCGAGAGTCTCAGCCTGGGCTGAAGGATCTGTGCATCCCTGTGCCTCTGTTAGCGTGCCGCAACGGACCACGCTGAGCCCTGTGCCTTTCTGGAACCTGGAGAAAGGAGCCAAGACTGTGGAGGACACCGTTGCGCAAGACCTGCTCCGCTCGGATCACCTGTCGGGACATGGTTCAATGGTTTTGCTGCTGCTGCAAGAACCGTCCCCAGCCCATCTCTGCCTGGATGCCGTTAACGAAGCTGTGGTGCTCATGCGTCACGACCTGATGGGTGCCAGGAGGGCCGCTCAGGGCAGCATCGCTGAGAAGCCCTCTGAATGAGCCTTGAGCTTACAGGTATCCTTTCCGGCCTCCAGACGTGCACCCTCCATGCTCTGCACTGGATGGCCCGCCTCTTGACGGTCAACTGCCAAGATCTGCCAACTGCAACTCTAGGAGAACAAGTGCCTATGCTCTCTGCACTGGACGGCCCTCCTCGTGACGGCCAACTGCCAAATGCACCTTCGGGCAAAGCTGTGCTTGGGGCTTCTGGGAAAGCTACGCTTGGGGCTTGGATTGGGGTTGGCCTCGCAGATTTCTCGCAGGTCTGGTCCTCAGCTGCTCGCTTCTCTGAGGTTCTACAGCACGAACCCGAATCAAGAACGGCGCCCAAACGCACATAATTGCGGCACTGGGGGCGCTCCAAGAAATCTTCCGGCGAATCGAACGCATCGTCTGTGGGCGCAAAGACCGTCAAGAAACCCGAAACGTTTAGAAACGAAGCCAGGCCAGCTTTCCTGATCACAAGCACAAAGGCCGCATTACAGAAAATGAAAAGGAGTACACCACTGCCGAGCTTCAGCCGAACTTTTCTAGCTTTTATCTTCTCAAGTAATAGCAGAATAGCAGTCGAACGCAATGACGCACCTTCCCTGCACAGCAGCTGTGCGAATCTGCTGGGAAGGCAAGAAGACCCTGCAGCCACTGAGTTAAGTGAAAGAAGTTTGAAGGAGCGACGCAGCAGGGGAGACTTGACTCCGACTGTTGTGATGCCCTCTCTTACTGCGGAATTATTTCGATGGCTCACTGGACTTCTGAGCATGGCGATGTGATGCGAAGATTGACTCGACAGGAGGTGCAAGATAACATGCATCTCGGTGTAGAGCCGATGGACCGATGCTTTACCAGCAGCGATGCCATCCAAGCATTCGAAGGCTTCGCGGCCCTACATGTTAACAAACTGCAGCCCAAAAAGGGCTCTACGGCAATGCCATGCAACGCCCATATAAGGACAGTTCTGAAGTCGGCCATGGGTCCGCAAAGCTGACAGAAAAATCGAAAGGCTCTCGTCTGCTGACACCGCATCCAGCAAAGTTTGCCCGCGAAGCTCAACAAAAGTCAGCAAGACGGCTAAAGCGACCTTGGCTGAGTCACAGCAGAACACAGCAGAACACTCCAAGCGACAACGGCTCCAAGGGGGCAAAAATGTGCCTGCGGGCCGCGGTTCTGACAGCGCGCATGTCACGCAGGCCGCCCAGTAGCATGCAACATCAATTCTAATTTTAAGTTAAATAATCTGCGCAGGGCATTTGAGCCATATGAGCCATTCATGCGCGCAAACGATGACGCATGCTTTGCAGGTTCACGGTCAAAGGCACGGACAGGTGATTGCTGAATCGGCTGGTTCGAAAAGACACTTCTCGGTTTGACAACGAGCCGTAACTGAGCCGCAGTAGGCACCTGTGCAGAGCCATTGGGGTTGCCGTGCAGAAGGGCGTCTGTGGTCGGCTCTGACCCTGTCCAGGCAACACAGTTCAGATCCTGTTAAGATGCTCTTTCAACCTAAGCTCCCGGCGGAAGGTGAAAATGCCGCCTCGTGCGAGACGCTCACAAATCAAATGGCATCGCAGAGGAATGTGCAGGCGTGGTATTGGATTTACATGGATGAACAGTTCTTGCTGGACTGCAGTAGAACATCAAGCTGATCCACGAGGTCTTTCTGCCGCTGCCGTTTCTATCATGGTCTGCCTGTTGCAGCAGCTTGGCCACCTTGATCGATGACGAACTGGGTCTCCTGCGGCTCAGAGTAACACATGACTGTTCACCGCTGAACTCGACGGCAGCAACGGAACTCCGCTCGGCAATAGCAGCAGCAACGTAACGCATCACTTAAGACTGATACAGTAACCTAGCGCATCAATGCACCGTGAACACCGCATCGAGGGATCCCTTCGATAGCAGCATATAGCAGCTACAGAGGCTTTTTCCCCACAGTCCGTCTCAGACGGAGAGCCGTTGGCATCACCTCGCATCTAAGTCAACCCATGTCAACCCGCCCAAGCGGGCAGAGTACAGAAACTGGAGCCTTCGACAATCAGTTAAACACGTTTTGTCCCTCACGTTCGGCCCGCTGCGCTCGATAAACACCCACATCAGGCAGTGTTAGGCGATCTTATCTGTCAATCCAGACGCAAAGCCTATAATTAACTTGCTAGGGCTGTGCTGTGGTGGCTGAGCTCACCGCAGTCACCTTCCTTCTTCACACGCAAGTACTTCCCAGTTGCCGCGGACCTGAGCCACTGGAGTGACAAGCAGCGGAGTGTCTCCGCGGCCCAGTGGGCCCCGGACATGATCCGAACGTTCTCCCCCAGTCTGGCTGGGCTCTCCTCATGGAAGCACAGTGCCCAACCAAAACCTCTCTCTCTTTCTTACCCGCTTCTTCTTCTCTCTTTTGTCAGGCTTCAGGGGGAGTCAAGCCCCGCATGGCATCAAACCCACCCGCTTGTTGCGGACCATTAGGGAGGGGTGGCTAACCAAATTTGGTTCCAGGCTGGCATGAGCTTCACAGGAAAGTACCATGGCTCTCCCTGGGTCCTCCGCCCCGGACATGGAAGACACAACGAACTCAGCAGCTCTTCTGCCAGTCGCCGCCGCCTGTTCGGGAGCTATTGCCGATTGTCGCTGGAAAGGTTTTCAGCTAGAATCTTGCACAGCTCTGCAGCGCCTCTGCCGGAGGCAGGAAGTGTGTCTCTCCGTTTTCCCTGATGCCTAAGTTTCAGAAATCATGTTCCAGCCTAAAGTTTACCATCCTACGTGGTGAGGCTTGGGCAAAGCAGATCTCCTCTGCCGTTCTTGATGTGGACGGCCTGCTTGGCCTGTCAACCGACGGCGGCTTCGCAACAGCTGCCACAGCACACAGCACCCTGAAGCTGCGCTGCCGGGGCTTGCCTCCATCATCATGTCAGCACCCTGCTCACCTGTGGTGGGCTCGAAAGTCCAGAACCTAAGGTCGCGAGTCGCGAATGTCTCTCCGAGATCCCCGAGCCATTATCTGAGCAGGAAACGCATTGGGATCGAAAGGGGTCCCATTGCCATCTGCCACCTCAGAGTTCAATTTCAAGAAACTCGATAACGACTTGGCGACCTCTCAAGGCTCGGGCGCCCGAAGGGCTTTGACCTCAGCTGCTCGACAGGCCAGGGTGGCCGGGCCACAAGTCTGAATCTTGGGCCATACCGAGCCGATGACGCAAGTGACCGCCCTTGAGGCGTGCCCGTACCGTCATCGGAGAACCAAGCTTCACCAAAGGCCTCAAGTTGGAGACCTGGCGACACGCCCTATTTCTATGTCCCTTCCTCGCATTTCCTCGTGTCAGAGCACCTCTGCCAGCTCGACCTCTGTAAGCTGAGCCGCCTGCCAATGTTCGCGGAGTATGCTCGCTTCATGCGAAGCTGCTAATACTGAGGGCTCCACAAAGCGGTCCACGCTGGAAGCTCTCCGCGCGGGCTTCTCGACCAGGGTCTTTGTCACTTTGATCCTGCTACAACAGCTTCGCAACAGCTTCGCAAGCAGACGCAAGGCTGCCAACACTGAGCTGCCGTGCATCTTCTTCTTCTTGCCCATCACGCGAGCCTCGGCTGGGCCAATCCAAGAGAGACAGCATCAAATTCACACATTGGCGAAGAGTACGCCAAAGCCCTGCAAAGCCTTCACGAAAGAAAAGCAACCGCCAAGGGCCTTGCCGCCTTGTGCTGGAAGCTTGCATACCAGCGTGCTATAGCGGACCTTGGCAACAAATTCCATTTGCTTAGGCCCTCAGCCCTCAACCCTTGGACAGAATCTGGGGTCCCCTGCGCGCCCAAGTAGGCAAAAAGGATTAAGGGCAGCAGCAAAAATGATATGTAGCCTGGGAGGCAGGGTCATAGAGCCCCACATGAATAACTCAGCGAGCAAATGAACGCGTGCAGCATGGTGAGGTGAGGTGGTGGTGTGGCGGTGTGGCGACGTCTGGACCCGGCCAGTTCTCGCTTCCTCAAGCAGCCCTCAACATCCGACAAGATACCGGCACAATGCAGGGTTAGCCTTCTCTGCAATTTCGAAACTGTATGAAGGGGCAGGGGCTTCTGGGTCTGGGAATCACTGGGCCTGAGCCTTGCCTTCTTCGTCCGTGCATCACGAACAACCAGGGGGTCTAGCAAAAGAAGCCCTCATAGAGAGAACTGCTCCAAACTGCGAAACTAAGCGAAGACAGGCTAGCTTGGCCGCAGGCGCATGTCCTTCTGTGAATTCGGTTCCTTGCTCGCACGAACATAAGTTGACGCTTTGACCGTCATTATTGTCAGGCGAACATCTGAGCAGGAGACCTCGAACTCCTGCCCTGTAAATTTCAGGAGTTCCACAATGGACTTGGACCTGCAAACATCAGGATACCACCAGAGTCGCAGCGTATCCGATTGCTGGAGGTGTTCATGATGATCTCGCATGGACCAGTCAGCAAGACTCAGCACCGGCTACTGAGTAAATGCGTACGCGCGTTCACAGTTCGGCATGGACAGGGCTATCGACTGAGACGGAGGCTTTTCAAGCACGTCATCCAGTCCATGCCCAAGAATGAAGTGCAAGCAGTTCTGGCGGGACTGGGGCGTGTCCTGGCAACTCGCAACATGTCGAGCCCAGGGAAGTACCAAAAAGTGTCACACATGCCTGCCCACTTATGTCTGCTGCTTGGATGCGCACATCTGGAGAATTCCGCGCCTCCTTGGCAACATACTCCACGACTGTCGTCTTGTAGCCATTCTGCGCACCGGGGCCAAGCTTGTGATAAGTTGTTCAAACACCCCTACCGGGCCCCTCTCCCAAAACGCCGGCAAGCCTAAACACGGTCAAGCCTGAACCAACATACCCGAAGCCCTGCATGGCCTTATCCTCAACGCGTGAGACTGGCTGCATTTCACCTCAAGACCACAGAAAGTGCGAGTGTGCCAAGAGGCATCGAGAGCGATTGCAGGAGATTGCGATAAACAGGGACTTGCCAGAGTAGGGTGAGGGCAACCGGTCGTGTTCTGGACAAAGTTCCGAAAAGTCGGGTTCCTGAGCCGCATCTGCTCATCTTCTTTGGACCTGAGCGGCTCAATGCCCAGAGATGGCTTGCGCAAGTCCTCATTCTCGGCTTCTGTTTGTTCAAAGCGGCGAGACGGTGAACATCATGATGAGCTTGATGTCATTGAACTCAGTTGTCCTGGCAGAGTGCTTCTTCCCGCCCTGCCGTCACCACCTGGAAGACGATGATCTGAGGTGCAAGCACGAAGTCTTTGCAACTGTCGAACTCATAGGCATACTCGATTGGAGATCCAACCTTGCTAAAACCGGTTGCATACAGCGTCGACTAGGCAAGCCCGAAGGAGCTGCAGGCCAAAGCTTCGTCATGAAGCAAGCTGGGAGATCTGAGGTTTCTGCATTAGCTAATTCCGGTGGACAGAGATCCTTGTTCTGAGGCAAATTGCAGAAATCGTCCACCTGGGCACATGTGCAATTGATGCACTTACCAAGCTTCTGTGCGGCTTCGCTGAGAGAAAAGCTCGCTTCGCTGCAGGCTTCTGGCACATGGCCTGCGGTCGACTCACGCACTTGCAGCTGCAGCGCAGGAGCTAAAACAGAAAAAGCTTTAGCGTCAGGTTGAATTCCGAGTCCTACTCTGAGCACATCAGCACCTGGAACAAGCAGAGGCCTCGTTGTCACCAATCAGAACACAATACCTTTGCGCATCATCCCGAGCGATTGGGACTGCTCGCAGCGGGGGCGTCGTTACCCCACCATGACCAGGAACACTTGTACTCACCACCACAGGATTCGTGCCTATACTCGTAGCGAGAAGACTCTGGGCCCCAACCTGACAAGGACGGCCTGTGCTCAGCGTGACACGAGTTCAGCCTCTCTAGTTTGACAAGAGCAGCCTGCACTCACAATAAAAACGCTTTTCCCGTGGCAGTGAATCTTTGCGGTCCTCGTTGTACAGACGACTTAGCCGAGACTTGCCCCACGCTTTTTCCCCAGACGACTCCTTGAAGGCTCTCGACCACAGCCAAAAGGATCAAAAAGACTGCATTGCTGTCCTTTCTCTTCACAGTATCATGGGGACATCCTGCGTTTCTGTGCCATTTCTCTTTGACAAGAACCTAGTAAAGGCATGAAACAGTCACCCATGATCTCCCATGGCCCCTTTAAGCATCCCACCACCTTTCCGGCACTTTTTCTCAAAACCTGGTGGGCTAACCGCGTCTAACCTTGAAGGGCAGACGCGAAGGATCCGATGTATTAAGGGGTTAGGGAAGATGGGGACCCTCGGAAAATCCGAGAGGCGAAGAAATCACGAATGAAACCCCGGAGAACCTATAGTTCCCACAGGGGCCGGGAGCAGAGGAGCCGGATTTCTCCGTAGCTTGCGCCCTCCCTTCTTCTCCGCGTCCGTGCGCACGCGGACCGGGGGGGGGGGGGGTTATGCCACCTACCCCTGAACTCAGCGGGTCTATAGGTTGTTTAAGCCCTGGTCTGTTACGTGGGATGGCCCCCACGTCCGAGTCCTTGATGAAGCGGTCAAGTACGTGTTAAACAACCTTGACGCTTTACCCAGTTTTCAACATTTTGAGATTCGGGGCCATGTTCGAAACCAACAAGCGAATCGTTCCCAGGTCGTTTTCTTTTGGGGGTTCAGGGTGCCCTAAACCTAAACCCCAGTCATGACGTCAAACCTGTCATGGTATGACCTTGCTGCTATAAGGAAACGCTTGTCGCTGTTATGACTTTCCAGTCGCAGCAATCGTATCCTGTGGCTCGCTAGCAAGAACCCAACGGCATAATGTCCGTCCCACTGCCCTGGAGGCAGGCAGTTAACGAGAAGCGTCAGCAGTGTCGTAAGGCACGCCATGGAGAAGCGCAGCAGGTCGGCAACCACCGGTCACGCTTCGGAAGCCATTCGCGTTTCGCCGAGACCGGACCAACGCACAGCACTTGCGGCTTCAGCTCGAAGCAACAAACACGACGTGCAGCGCGGGAGCGATCGATCCGTGCTCCAGGTCCGAATCGAGCAGACAGCAAGTAAACCCATGACCGAAGATACACGAATCTGGGACAGTGACTTTATCGTGCTCGGCTTCTTCACCTGGCTTGCAAGAGCAAGAGATTCGATGCTGGAAGACTGCCGTGCTTCCTTACACAATTACGAGTTCGTTCCCATCCTGCTGGAAGGTCTCGACGCATCGTGACATGGCCTGGCCGCAATGTCTAAACTTCGATTACGACACACTGCCTCATGCACCCACATGCACCCATACTGGTGCAATCGTGTCTTTGGTCTTGCGACAGATGACATGATGGCCGGAACCGGGACGTTGGGGTCAGTGTTAGTTGTCCTCTTGCTCCTGCTGGGTGACACTGTCACTACCACCCCGACCATCGCCGTCACCAAAACCACCACTACGACCACCATGAAGACTGCCAACACCTGCCCGGCCAACTGCGGCACAGCAGTAGCAGCAGTAGTCGGGGCAGCGACAGCAGCAGCCGCCGCTGCTTTATCTTGTTGGTGCTACTGATCTTACTGCTGTTGGGACGATGCGGCATAAAAACCATTGGAGATCTCTTCTGTTGTCTCGATCGGGGGCGCGACGTCGCGACTGTTGAATTACTTTCCGTCGCGGTGACAGGGATGTGCAGATTTACTGGCCTTGTTGAGGTGCGTGAAGTACTCGTAGTGATCCGCCGTGACCGTTGCAAGAGCCTTCTGCTGGTCATAACTCCCACAAGACCGCAACGTGCTGTCAGCAGAACATGGACCATCATGGACCGTTCGTGAACAAGGCGGCTTGCCTCCTGTTGCAGAGTCAGATTGCTGGTAAAGTCGTGTAGCTTCTTGCTGTTCCTGCATGGCGCTTGGACTCTCGCACGTGCATTCGCAGCCGTGCGATCCTTAGAGCCCTTTCGGCCTACGTTACTTTGACAGTGCGGCCAAGCCCCAGATTGGAGTAGCCGGTTCATCAAAACACTTTCAAAAGATACCGTCTTCCCTACGAGACCGGCACTGTCATGGTAAGGCCGAAGCTGTTTGGGTTTTCACCGTGAAAGGCAGACAAAGCCAGACACCCTAGCTCTCTCGCAGAGGCGACTCTTGTTTATCTGCACTGCCGGCTCTATTATGAAGCGAACGCGTTCAAGCTGAAAAGCTGATCATCCGTAGGGCTTGCTGCAGCTGGAACTTATCGCGAAATGAGATACGACATCTGATGTGCCTAGACCTCTGCAGGCAAGCCTGTTGAAGAACGAGATTGCTCAAAACCAAGCAACCTCGAAGGAGGAAATCAGAGGAAGGGCACTCGACGAAGCGGCTACGGAAACATACGAGCAAAGCTCAGAGTCGCATCGTAAGAGCCTCCGCTCCTGTGCGATGTACCACGGGAAATCGCTGCACGCATACGAGCTTAATCTAGGATAAACTTGTACGACCATACTGCACGTGAGCTTGCGAATGTCCAACAGACTTAGAACAAGACTGCCAACAGGCGGCTTGCAGCTGCAGGCTTCGTCGGCATTCGTTTGACCTGCCGCGAGCCTTTCTGTTGCTCATGTAGCAACCCAGCATCAAATTGGCTGTGTCGCCGTGGACTTGAGCAGAGAGTGCAACACCTCTCTGAATGGTGTGCCAGTAGACAACTGTGAGGTGGCATCCGACGAGGGCAAGTGCCTACAGAGGGTGTGGATCTCAAGTCCTTGCTCTGCACTTTAGGCAAAAGCACAGATCCCTACCAATCTTGGTTGGCTGGGGATTTCCTCATGGTTTGCATGAACTGCTGTCTGTCGGGCGTGCACGCCGTGCAGACGGGCGTGGGTGTGGCTCCCGCCGGAATCATAAGTGTCCTCAGTGCTGTCGAATTTGTCGCCGCTCGCAGCAATTCAGAAGCATGTTCTGAGTCATCACCCACGCGAGATCGAATTTGCGAGTCAATAAGGATCAACAAGCAAGCAGGAGGGAAAGGATGCAGCACCCACCCGTGCTACTAGAAGCGATCATAACAACAAGCATAGTGATCATCACACCATGCCTCGACAATGTTAATGATGGTGAGCGTTCGGATGCTGACAAGAATACTTCTGAACGCAATAACCGATATGAGACGCAAAATGACGAGCAGGTAAGCAGGTAGATGGATGGGCAGATGCACATGTAGCTTGCCTTCATGCATGCAGCACATACATACGTACACACATACATACATACATACATACATACATACATACATACATGCATGCATGCATACGTACTTGCATACGTACTTACATACATACATACATACATACATACATGAATACATGAATACATGAATAAATATGTACGCCGTGGCCTACCATTACACAGACACACGCGTACTCACAGATAGATAGCTTTAACTAGCCACTGTAGCTAGCTCGGTGGGCAGGTGGGTAGGTAGGAAGGTAGGTAAGGTAGGTAAGGTA